AAGAAGTTTCAGGCTTTACACAGGTCCCCTCAGGGCACTGCACACCCACATGCGGCAACCTGAAGCCAGAGAAACCTGAGAAACCGCACCACGGCCAAGGAGCAGCTGGAAAAGAGGTGGGCTCCTGATTCTGGCTTTTCAGGGTCTTCTGCTGGGAGGCCTGGTCAGCAGTATTGATGGACCCCATGGGCTGAATTAAGCCCACCTGGCCTAGATTGGGGCCCTCCCAGGTGTACTGGCTTCCTGTCTCACAGGCCTGAATTTGTGCGTGCCCTTCAGCCTTAATGGCTGGCTGGGCTCGCCTGATTCTCTGCAGCAACCTTCTGTAGGGGCGCTTTGGTATAGAGAGGGACAACTTCTTATCTGGCTCCCGAACACGTCTTCCTCTTTTATAGTGACCCTGTACTTTTATTAAATATGATGTCTATTTCCAGGGACTGGTCTCTATTGATAACTTGTCCAAAATATGTGAGATGAAGTCTGGCCATCCTTGCTTCTAAGGAGCACTCTGGCAGCACTTATTCCAAGACAGAGTTGTTTGTTCTTGTGGTAGCCCAGTTCATGGTACTTTGAATATTTTTCCTCAATACTATAATTAAAATGTGTCGATTCTTCTGTGGTCTTCCATATTTGCTGTCCAGTTTTCACATGCATAAGGTGATTGATAATATCATGGCTTGGGTCAGGCGTACCATAGTATTTAAAGTGGCATGCATATTCCTAGTTTATTATCCTCAACACAGTCACAGGCTTTTGCATAGTCAATAAAACATAAATAAACATCTTTCAGTTATTCTTTGCTTTCATCCAAGATCCATTTGATGTCAGCAATTATATCCCTGTGCCAGGTCCTCTTCTGAATCCAGTTTGAATTTCTGGCACCTCTTTGAGAATATAGTGCCGTAACTAAAAAATATATGTATATATATCTTCAGCAAAATTTTACTTGATTGTGAGATTGATATTGTTTGATCATTTTTTAATTCTGTTGTTTTTCATGGAATGGACTAAAATATGAATCACTCCCAGTCAGTCAGGTAGCTATCTTCCAAATTTCTTGGCATGGACTAGTGAGTGCTTCTAGTGCTGCATCAGTTTATGGAAACTTTTCGATCAGTTTTTCATCAATTCCTAGAGCCCTGTCTCCAGTACCACTTATGCCTTCATTACCTCTTCCTTCAGTACCAATAAAGATCATATGCTACCTCTTGAAATGATTGAATGTCGACCAGTTCTTTTTGGTACAGCAGTTCTCTGTATTCCTCGCATCTTCTTTTGAAGTTTCCTGTATCATTCAGTATTTTGAATCCTTCAATGCTGGAGCCCAAGGCATGAATTGTTTCTTCCGTTCTTTCATCTTGATATATACTGCCAATGTTCTTCCTTTTAGTTTTCGACTTCCAGGTCTTTGCATATTGCATTAGAATATTTTACTTTGTTTTCTTGAATTGCCTTTTGAAACTTTCTAATTAGTTCTTTTATTTTATTATTTCTCCTATTTTTTATTAGCTATTCTGCTTTAAGAGTTTACAAGTTTCAGTCTTTTCTGACATCTTCTTAGATCTTTTCTTTCTTTTTTGTCTTTTCGATGACCTCTTACTTTCCTTGTGTATGATATTCTTGATATCATCCTACAGCTCATCAGGTCATTAGTGTGAACACCATTATGTCAAAGCTCTACTTGAAATGTTCTCTAAATCAGGTGCATTCTATTTATAGTCAAACTTTGTCTCTCATGGACTTGTTTTACTTTTCTTCACCTTCAACTTCAACTTAAATATAAATACACAGCCCTGGCTTTGTTTGGGCTGATAATATTGAGCTTCTCCATCATCTCTTCCCACAGCCATAGTCAGTATGATAGCTGTGTATTACACCTGCAGAGGTTCATGTATGTAGTCATTGTTTATGTTTAAAAGAAGATATTGCATTGAAGAAGTTGTTGGGCTTGCAAAGTTTTATCATTTGTTGCTGCAGGTTCATGTTTATCACTAAGGTCATGTTTCCCAGCGACTATTTCTTGCTCTTTGTTTCCAACCTGCATATTCCAATCACTGAAAATTGTCAATGTATTTTGATGACACATTTAATCAACTTCAGACTGAAGAAACTGGTAGAATTCTTCTATTTATTCATTATTGGTTGATGCACAAATTTAAATAGTGGAATTTATTAACTGGTCTTCCTTGTAGACATAGATATTATCCTATCAAAGATGGCGTTTTACATTAAGATGGATATTGAAATGTTCTTTGGCAGTGAATACGACATTCTTCTTAAACGTGTCATTCATTAGTAAGCCTTCTGATGGACTCAAAATGGCCCAAACTAGTCCATTTCAGCTCAGTAATGCTGAGGATATCAATCTTAGCGTGTTCTGTTTTATATTTAGCAACTGCCCATTTTCCTAGATTCATGTTTCATACAGTCCACGATCTGATTATTAAGGGATGATTGAAGATGTTTCTTCTCGTTTTGAGTTGTGCCCCATCAGTAAATGAAGGTCCTGAAAACTTTGCTCCATCTGCTTCATTACAATACATACTTCTTAGAGAAGGCAGCTTTCCCCAAAAGTATTTTGAGTGCCTTCCAACCTGAGAAACTCAACTTCTGGCACTATGTCATACGACATCCAGCTGCTACTCATAAGGTAGTCAGTGGTTATTTGTCAGTGGAGGGCTGCTGGCCATCTCTGACCTCCTCCAGATTCACTATTGCCACAAGGCAGGGGTCAGATATGCCTTTGCGCTCCATGTCATCATACAGTCAGATACTCAACAACTTGAGCATATTTTGCCAAAAGTAAGCAACCTAATGCTTGCATAAAAGGTGGTGTAATGGGTTAAGCATTGGGGCTCCTAACCTAAAGGTTGTGATCCAAACCCACCAGCAGCTCCACAGGAGAAAGAGAATGCTGTTCGCTCCTGTACAGATTACCATCCTCAGGAGCAGTTCTAGTCTATCCCATAGAGTCACCAGAGGTTGGAATGGGCTTAGAGGCAATGGGCTTTATGCTTGTATGTCAGGAGCCTTGCCAGTGCAATGGTTAAGGGTTCAGCTGCCATGACAGTGGGTTTTGTGTCAACCTGGCTGGGTCAGGATTCTCAGTGGTTTGGCAGTTGGGTCCTAGTAACCCTCTGTAATGTGACTTAACACAATGTAATCAATTCTATAATGGGATCTGCTGTGAGCAACCACTCTGTTCTAAGATTGGGGTGGAATGCAACCCTCTTACTCTGGAGCGATGGAAAGGTTGATTCCTTGGGGCTGTGGTCTACTTCCTATATAGATAGATGCTGTGGAAAGCTTGTTTTATTTTTTGCTGGGTCTGGATCTTGCATCTGATCATTGACTTCTGGTGCTTGAACTGGAGCCAACAGCCTGCCAATTGCCTGCAGCTCCCAGGCGCCACCAGCCACCTGCCGTTTGACCTGCTGACCTGTATTCATTTGCCTCTCTCCAATCACAAGTCTGACTTGCTTGACCTTGGATTTATCTGCCTCAGCAGCCTGTCATTTCTGCCGTTCCTAGGTTCATCAACTCCCAATGCTATCTATACTCCATGTAGGAGAAATCTCGTGTTTACCATCTGGCCCACAGACTTGAAACTGGATTGGGCTTAACTACTTTTACAACTGTGTGAGTTTTCTTGATATAAATACACCTACACACATATCTCTGGTTTTGTTTCTCCAGAGAACCCAGGATCACACAGCTGCTATCTGAAAGATTAGTGTTTTAACCCTCCAGCTGCTCCATGGGCGAAAGACGAGCGCTCTGCTTCAGTAAAGATAATATCTGGGCAGGTCTGTGTTTTTGTTACATGAGTCACTATGAATCAGAATCAACTCAAGGCAATGCATTTCTGTTTCAAATATTTGTATATGCCAATTGTCACTTGACCATATAAGTAGAGCTGATTTCCCTAAATACAAATTGCTTTGCTAATGTTTTGCCTACCACAAAGCTGTATGGGAGAATACAGAGTTTGAGAGAAGCCATGCTTTGATTCTTCCTTAAGTCTTTTGCATATGTGCCATCTACATTTAGTGAACCTAAAGTTAATGGATGGCATCTCTAGGATGTATATTCTACAAGCCTAATACTATCTTCATATATTGTGAAACAGAGGTATAAAGTTGAGTCTTTTATAAAATCTTTAATATCCTCGATTTGTCACCAATAATTGGGAGTGACTCTCCGATTTGGTTTGTTCAGAGACCAGTTTTGTCCCCAAACATAAATTCTGTCATCTCTCACCATCCCTTCCAAGTCATTTTACAGGGAAGTGATTTTTCCTTAGTTCTCCGATCCTAATGATAAAGCAGCCCAGTATTGTCATTTATTTTGCACTTTCCACGATCACCTACACATGCCTCTCCTGCACAAGGCCAAGCGATTCGTGGCCTTTCTAACCCGCTATCAGTAGGGTTTAGACAGGAAGTGGGACTCAAGGAATCTGGGTGGCTTCTGGTCCCTACTCAGCTTCTGATTAAACAACTTGGCCACCCAGTCCATCTTTGCTAACCATATTTTTTTGTAATCTGCCAAATGTGTGGATTCAAGATGATCTCTAAGCCCTTTTCCATTTCTGAGATTCTTAGTAAAGCATTAGGTATTGAGGAAGCCTCTCACAACATTTACCACAAGTGACGAACGTTGCCACACACACTGCTACACCCTCAAGAGAGGGCTGGACCAGTTTTGGTGGACGGCACTGAGGTGCGGCTCAGGCGGGAAAGGGTGGCGACAGATCAGCCCATTTCAACAAGGCCAGGCTGTCTACTTCAGGACGCGGCCAGGGTCCAGGGGCCCGCGTCGACGACAGAAGCCACTTCCGCCTGGGCTGCGTATGACGTCAGGGCCGAGGCGGACCGTTGCAGCCAGCGAGCTGCGGCGGAGGAAGGGCTCGCGAGAGTTCAGGGAGGCCGCCCCGAGATTCCGGCGCGGCCGCCGGTCCCACCCCCGGGGGCGGGGCGAGGGCGGAGCCGGGCCAGCGGAGCGGACGGGCTCCCGGCCGGCTGCCGACCGTGCTGAGGCTGAGCCGGCCGCGGGCGCGACCGGAGGCAGGTGAGTACGCGGCGGGGGCGCTGGGGCTCGCCGCTCCAGCGCCAGCTCGGCGAGCCAGGGGAAATCCTCGGCGCGTCTGGCCGTCCGGGGAAAGCTGGCGAATGTCGGGGCTGGAGGCGTCTCCGGGGACGCTCCGGCTCCGGCCTTGGCCCTCCTGCTCTCCGAGGTGCCGCTGACCGGCCCGGTCTGTCCGGAGCCATGGGAGGAATCCTTGCCCTGCTGTGTCCCTTTCGCCGTCCACTCCTCTGCCCCCAAGCACCGCGCGCCTGGTCCCTGCCTGGGCTTCCTGCACAATAACAAATGTCGCGGGTCGTGCCCGGGCATCCCTCGCGCCCCTCTCCCGTGCCCTCTACCTGTGTCAGCGAGAGGAAGGTTCTCGGCACGGCTCTGACATTGTGGGGGCTGTTTTGTGTACCATTCCTAAAAACTGATGCGTCAGATTGCTCAACACTTGTCCAGGAGACACCGTGAAGCCGCCCAGTCTCAGGAGCCACGGAATGTTCACAAGCAGTTTGAAAATCTGTCCATTCCATTGGCGCAGTAGACCCCCGAAACATCCATGCCTCCCACTCTCTTTGTGCCTTAGGATTGGGACCGACTGGAGTGGCTCATTGGTAAGAAAATCGGAAAGCTGCTCAGCCGGTGAAGTAGGGGGCATTTCACCTTTAAAAAGTTCCCAGGTTGGCAGCAAAAGAACAAACTTATTTTCCAAATCAGCGGCTTTGGCTGATGCTACTTTTGGTGGGATCTTTTCGGGTGTGATGCCTGTAGGAATTGATTACAGAAAGAAAATCGCGTTTGCGATAAATAGTGGTTTGTCCAGAAGTGAGATACTCTTGATCCTCACTTGGTAAAATGCAGAATCCACAATCTTGTCTCTTTCATGTAACTCAGTCGGAGTTTTGAGAGATGCCCTAAGAAGGCCTAGGTGCTAACTTTATTGCTGTTAAAAACCAAGGAAACCACTTTGTTTTAATTTACAACTCCTGGATGTAAAATGAGGGTTGAAGAGTGAGGCTCTCTTTTTTTTTGGGTGGGGGAAAAGATGGCTTTAACATTTTCAGGTCTACCTACTTTATAAAGCATAGTTGTAAGCACAATTTTGCTCCTCCAGAGTGCAGGTTGTTTGAAAATTTTTTTTCTCCCCAAAGCCTTACATGTATGTGAAACAATGGAAACTGCTTTGTCTTTAACTGCCCTTTCTCTGTATGCCTCAGGATATATAAAACAATTAAGTTTATTATACTCTGTTTCCAAGTAGTTGAGAAGTATTGTATGTGAATTAGCCAGTCTTGGGACTCTTCTGGGAAGGTGGTAAATTATGAGGACACTGGTCCATTGCATAGGTTCAGCTAAGAACTTTTATCTGGATATTCCTGATCTCAAGATGGGTTAAAAAGAGAAAAAAGGGGTATGACTTAGCTTTAACTTAGTGCTTTCTCTTTGTTAATAGGGCCAGTAATGCTTCCCATTTTGTTGGGATGTGTTTAGAATGAGAAGCAAAGTTGGGTGTCGGTTCAGACCTTTTTGAAAGGCTCTGGCATTTCATGAAAAAAAAAAAATTTAAACTGAGAAAGACCACATTAATTGGGTGCCAGGCTTCTCTAACTTCTTGTTTTTGACAGTTAGTTGTAAAAGAAGTCAAAATTCAAGAATAGAGGCAAGGAGCTTTTGTACAAATAAATAGGTGCCCACAGCAGTTTTTATGCTGTAGTAAAACAAAGAACCCCAAAAGGTAAGATGGTATAGGAACAAAGAATGAATTGTCCTTTATAGAATATTATGACAATTAAGGCAACTGACTCAAACCAGCCAGTTGTCTTCAGAAAGATTCTGTTCTCTCAAAGCTAGGGCAGTGCCATTGTGTTTGTGAAGTTGGACAACATCCTTTTCCAGTGAACTGGGATAAACTAGAGGCTTTTTTTTTTTTTTTTTGGAGAAGTGGTGTGAAAATATATGTAGCAGAGCTGCGCCAGGTCAACAATTTCTGCATGTACTATTCAGCACCTTTGGTTACAGTCATCAAATTGTGTCACCTTTCTTGATAACCTTTTTCAAGCGAGTGCACCATCATTGACACAAATTCATTGCCCCTCTTCTGTGACATCCCCACCCCCACCCCCCAGCTTCTCATCTCTCCCTTGGAGTTGTCAATTGGGTCACATAGAGGCAACTTTTAAAAGGAGTATAATGCTGAATGCAGACATTCGTTTCTAATTTGGCTAACCTATTATTTGGTTCAAAGATGACTTTAGGGGTTAGTGTTGATTCAAGGTTTAAAGATTTCTTTAAGGTAATAGTTTCTGTGGTCATGTGGCTTCAGTGCCTCCAGAGAGTTTGGATTCCATTAGAATTTGAAATTCTGTTGGAGACTTCGTGACATTTTATCAAGAAGGAAAAGCGGGCACAAGTCAAAGCCAGAAAGCTTTGCATCACAATGTAATGTTAAAATGATTGTGTTTTGCATAAATAATGTAGGGTGAATCAAGTGAACATATTGTCTTCTGCCATCCCTAGGATTACATTAAAATCAGCAGATGGGCAAGTTATGGATAGGTTAGACTTGCCATATGCAGAAATTATGCCACTGTACAAAGCATCATGGGCTTTTTGAATGAGATAATCAAAATAAGCTTTTCAACATTAAAAATTAAAAAAAAACTTTTAAAGGTATCCTTGTCCAAGAGTTTAAAAATAAACATTCCCTCTCCCCTCCTAGTTTTTATTTAAGTCTTAGAGATTTATCTAGGAATGAGTCTCGAATTTAAACGCACAGGTTACTTAAGTCTTTTGTTTCCTGTTAAAGGTTTGAGGGTTGACTGAATGTTCAGAACCCTGAGGAAAGAGCTGAAGGCTAACAATGAACAGTGTTCCCGGACCAGTTACACTAGAATGAACTGTGGTCTCTGTTTTCAAATGCATTTTATGGGGAAGCCAAGGAGGAGAGGATTAAATCTTGCCTGACCAATTACAAAAGACTTGGAATGGGAAGTAGCATTGGCATAAATGATTTGGTGACTAGTCATATTGAGAAAGGTGCCCTGGTGTCGATTTTGGGTAAGCGTTGGAAACCTCCGGACTTTCTACTCCCGGGAAGACTTGCAGTTTCAGAACCTTCCGGAGCAGTTCTGGTCTGCCCCATAGGGTCCCAGTGAGTTGGAATCGACTCCACAGCAGTGCATTTGGCTCTTCTTTGGTTTGGTGCGTGGTGGTTAAAAAGGCCCCCTGGTTTGAACGCACCAGCCGCTCATGCCTCCGGAGAAGGATGTGGCGGTCTGCTTCTGTAAAGATTTCCAACATTAGAAAGTATACGAGCAATTCTCTTCCGTCCTGTAGAGCCCCTGTGTGTGCCAGCCACTCCAGCAGTGGGCTTAGTCATAGGACAGAGGTAATAAGTAAGCCCCAATTTATGAGAGGCTTTTGTTTGTCCCCATTCTGATTGCTCTTTTTTCCGTTTCCTTTAGTATTCCCTTTTATTAGCAATATCTTTATAAATCTGATCTTTATTTGCCTTGACAGTTAACATATGAAAGATAATACTGGCAGATTACAGGCTGCAATATTGTTTGTAGTAAATATATGTTACTAATAAGATGTACAAACACTAAGGGTGCTTAAGTGCAGCTGGTCTTAAGTTCAGTTTATCATAATGGCGATATGTGTGTGATAATAAGTCAGTCTTTTACTAAGTAGGGTAGGTTCTAGAAAATCCAACAATAGGATAAATTATGGTTGAGGAGCTTAAAGTCTATTGGGAAAGCAGCAGGGATAAGGATTTAAAGCCAATATATTTACATTATTAGAACAAAGAAGGCAAAACAAATTTTTAAAAAATTTCTTTACACAGTATGTGTTAGTAGTAATGATATACTGATTGATAAAATGTTTAGGATCTTCATAATTTCATTGAGATGCTTATAGTTTGATTTTACTTTGTGTGTAAATAAATTTAAGTTTCTATTTAAGTACAGGTTTGATTTTGAAAAATTATTTTTGGTAAAAGATGTGTTAGTTCATCAATGGGAAGCGATGCATGTTCTTACCTTCTTTGTGATACAAAATCCTGGGGGTGTAGTTTTGTAGTTTTGCATTGAAAACCTATGGACCCTGGTAATCCCTCCTTATAGATACATACTCTGCATAGGTCTTAGAGAAAACCTTTACAACTGTTACTGGCTCATACTGGTGACCTGGCAGTTCACATTGATGCTGTACGTTCTAAAGGCCTCCGGACTTTTCAATTATCTGTGACTTTTGAAGGACGTGCCTTTACTGGACTTAAGTTTTAAATTCTTGACCAAGCTCCTTGCTTTCCCCTGAATTAAGTCCCAGACCATTTGGCACCCAAAATTGAAGTTGATTTTCTGGCTCTACACATAGAAGATTTCTTACTTTCTTGTCTTCTGATGATTCTTATTGATTGCACAGGTATTTTCTTTTACGTACAGGTCTCTGATCTTGTATGCATGGTCAGCATTCATTGTTTTCTTACCTTTTTCAATTTACCTGCTTTTTTACATCTGCTTCAGGAGAGGATTCTTTCCCACTACTTTCTAACTCCTGGGACAAATTTACTCCTTTTGTAGTTACTGAATATGGTGGAATTAATAATTTAAAAAAA